AGGGGAGAGAAAGAAGGATATATCAAATGTCAAACTTCCGTCTGGTCTCAATTTTCTTTGTTATTTTGTTAAGAAAAGCGTTTTTCAGTAAAATTTTGGACATTTTTCTATCCCCAATTAAGTGCAGCTTTTAGATAAACTATAATATAACGGAAATATAGTGAAATTATTACTTTATAGGGCAGAAATAAAGAAGAATTCAATGTTGAAATAATTTTCCGTTTTTCTTAAAAACGGTAAGAGACCGCCAAGAAAAAAGTTCAGATTCGTAATCTACGACCTCAAAATAGTGTGTATACCAATTTTGGTGAAAATCGGATGATTTCCAGTTTTCCCAATAATTACCGAAATTTTTAGGTGTTACCTGTAAAATAATAAAAAATGTATTTCAATTTTTATTTATTTTTACCTTGCCCCCCCCCTAAACTTCATTCTTCCGGCGCCCATGGACAGCATGGTACCCACGAGGAATTAAAAGACCTAGCAGACGACCAAACCTGAGATGGGACCATGATATTAATGCATGAAAATTAGCAGGAATAACTTGTGTCTGCATAACCAACAATGGACCCAATTAAAAAGAGAGTATCCCTGTGAGGGAGACTACATCATAATTGGAAATGTTTGAATAAGCTGAGAATGATGAATATAGAAAAATTATAGGATAGAACGTTTCCAGATACACAAATATATTTCGAAAAAAAATGGAACTTTTGGAACAGAGTATAACTTGTTTATCTTATTTCTTTATTCGAACAAGAAATTTAAACTTACTACATCAAAGGTAGGTATATCTAGATAGTACTTGTAACTAGTTGAATGGCTAGTTAATGTAGGTAGATAAGTTTCATCCAAGTTTCCAAGAAAATTTCCAATAGATCGATCGGGAACTTGGTCCGCAGGAAGCTTTCGGCGATATTGTTTACTAAACAAGGCTTGTAACATGAGTTAGCAACGTGAATGAATGACGCTATCTTGTTTACTTTGAGTTAAGAGGGCCTACACATGATGTTATTAATATTGTATTAACTTAACTAACGTTTTATGTATACATCTCTGATTTTAACTTGTTTCTTTAATTTTTTAATATAGTATATTTTTTAATTTCAGTAAAATTAATCTTTAAGCTTTATTCAGAACCTCCCAATTAGTGGAATAAACTAGTGGTTTCAATTAGCGTAGAAGTTTGTTCCTCTAATTTGAATATAAGCATTCAGAACGTCAAAATTGGTAGTAGGAATTTTAAATTAGCGGAAAAAGTTACCAAACTTTTAACTTTTCCACTAATTATACTTCAAAATTTGCGAGGAATGTCATTTTGTGGTTAGAAATCAAAAGTTTATTGTTTTATAAGCTAAATATTAGGCTTTCCCTATGGATACAACTGATTACCGCAAGCTGTTGCTAGGATATTCTATTCATTTTAATTGTATTTTTTAGACATTGTGTATGATCCTAAACTAAAAAGTATAAAGTGTAACTGAAACCACTAATTTATACCACTAATTGCGAGGTTCTGAATGAAGCTTAACACTTTGTCTTAAAATACTATTACATTTGTCATTTTTAATCATCATTTTGAAGGAATCATCAAAAGTAATTACCTGGACGAAAGTGTAGATTCCAAAATGTACAGAGCGTCCCATTTTCCTGTGTTTTACAGGGTTTTTCATTTATAAGTAGAGATATAAAGATGTGGATTTCACATTACTAGACATTACTATACTATACTCTGTTTTTTTTTTCTCAGGTAAGATTTCGACAGACGATGACAGAAGAAAAGCAGATGACGTCCCATACCAATCTATTTATTTTACTAAAAAAAGTTTCTAATAATTTTTAAGTTAACGATGGATGGGTATAAATATAAATTCGTCATGCGTCGTCACTTGTTGTTTTTAACCAGTTTTATTGGTTTATTTCAAAAATGACAGATCGTATTTCAATTTTATTGGTTTGACGGAACAATGAACGACAAACGGACGCCGATGCGTATGAACTCGCCTTTAGATTTTTGACGTTTGTCAAAGTCTTGCCAAATTATAGGTTATAATTTTGTGACAACTTTTGTCAAATACCCTGCGTTTTGGAAGATGATGCATTTTGATTCGTGTTATTACGTGTGTTTTGTGTCTTTTGAAGTCAAGTGGAGGAAAAATCGAGTGAAAATTAACTGTAGAACCCAGAGCACAGTTTATGGTTAATACTCGCTGCCCAGGCAGAAAGTCTTATACAGATACACCAATAAAGTTACTATCAATAAAGTTCGTATACCATCTCGTCGTAGATAAGTGCATCTCGAATATGGTAGAAGGACCATACTAAACACATACTAAAAACTGGAGTAGCTGTAAAATATCGACATCACACGATAGGTAAATAATGGATTTTAGTACTGCAGAAAAATAATGTCAAAAGGTACTGGTTTAAAAAAAATAAGATTAAAGTTAATTAATCAACCTGTGAGGTATAAAATTTGGTAAGTGTTATTATTAATAAAATAGTTTGTTTTATTTATGTTGTTTATTCCTGCGGAATATTACAAATTTGTATTTGTACATAAGTTATATTGATAAATATAATCATAAATGCGGGATGTTTCATAAAGCTTGAAAGCAATAAATAGTTCTTTTTTATATTTTTTGGTATGTGGTGTCTTGTTTTTGTTTGTTTTGTATTAACACATACCGTTTTTTATTAAATAAAATAACTCGATTACATTTTTTCAGTTTTATACAGTTTTTTTCACAATATTTTGAAGTTACTTGTCAGTCAAATTTTAAATACATATATTAATTTCCTGCTATGCGTTCCAGTTGTACCAACTTATTTCTTTGTAAAATAAAATAAACTACTTTGAAATTAAAATGACAGACACATCTATCACTGTCAAGGATCTTCTCGTTGGACAGACTATTTTTTTTATGAGACTAAAAATGCTACACACAGATTGTTTAACATATTTTTTGTCGTTGTTCATATTCTATAAAAAAAACGTTAAACGCTTTAAGCAAAAAGAATCTGTGCACCTACACAAAAAAAAAAGAAATGACTGTGTGGGAAGACCACTTAATTCGATATACGCATTCTCTCAAAATTGGTTAATTTATAATGTACTTTGAAGAACAACGTTCTGGCCGCCCACGATATTGTCGTCCTTTTTGCGAGATAAACAAATATTATCCTTATAATTTGCCATCTAATACTGTAAAAATATCAGGCGATATAAACAAGCGTTCCGTAACAAAGGAAACAGGAGAAGCAAAAGGAAAGAAGATAATCTAACACACACATTAAATAAAAATACTAAAAGAATGAGTGTATCGACAAAATCAAAAAGATCGCGATGGTGCTTTAATATGGCTGACTTAAATTCCTGTTAATCAGTATCGACCTATTTTTTTAAACGTGTTCAAATAAATTAATGGTTGGGAACAATGAATTTAAAAATATCTCCCTCGATTACGTAACTAAAAGTGTAATTGATATGAAATATATGGTTACATTTTTCTTTTTCAAGTCTTAAAAATCAAAAGGCGTTCCTTTGGTAATATAATTCGATTTCGTTCTTTGATAGGTGGTTAATATTAATTTTGATTAAGGTCATATTTTTTTGTTGCTGTTAAAGTATCACATTTTCCATTAATTATTATAACCTTTTCCGTAGCATTGAACTAAATAAATTTTGTGATTCTTTACCATTTCAAAACAGCTTTACAGAACAGCAAAAAAACTTGACGTTAATTAAAATTCTATCAATAACAATCTATCAAAAAAACGAAAACGAAATTATATTACCATAGAAATGCGTTTTGATTTTTACTTGATTTTTAACTGAAAAAAATTCAACCATATTTCCATGCTTTTCTTATTTTCTCTAAAACGTTATGGAAAATTTTAAAAGTATAAAATGGGAGTTAACCATTTTAGAACAAGCAAAATTTTTTTAAATTTTTGAAGAACGAATTTTTCTCAAAACTTCAATATAAAAAAATTCTCTAGCAAAAAGCAATCCAATATTATTACACTTTCCTTATTTTTAGTCAATGTTTCGAGACAAAGAAGCCAGGAGAAGCAAAAAGGAAAAAGGAAATCGAACACGCAACTGACGTAAGAAAAGCTCTCATCTATTAAGTGCTCTGTTTGTTTTTATCAGGCGTCAAACAACGTAATCTAAACTATTAGCGCTAATGCTGATTTGCGTATGTGTTCATTCGCTTATTTTTTTATTGTACACGCGTTATCGTCATTCATAAAATTTATCAAATTAAGAGGATATGCGTGATGCGATCAGTAATGCATATAGGTACAGTGTCGCATTTTCTTGTGTTTTAATAGATGGTTATTTTCTTTTATCTATGACTATTTATTGATTTCTTTATATTCGTCTGTCTGAACAGAACAATGAAGTGAAAATTTAAGATTTAAGGTTATGGTTCAATACAGTTGCAAAAAGGTAGTGGCTCGACGTCCTACCAACGTAAGAATAAGGAAATTTAAACAACATTGGAATTAGTAAAACAGACGACGTTTGCATAACGTTGGAATAGGTCCTGAAACTGACGTCGGAAAACTCTTTATTGCCCAACATTGTAACTACGTTGTCCGAATCACCTAAAGATCACTTAAGCAAAAAAGGTTACAAGACAACGTTTATTCGACGTCCCAGAAGCTTTTACTTTGTTGTAGTACTAGTTCAACGTCGGCACAACGTTACAACAACGTTTACATTTATTTTAATACCCAAGGTACGGAGCTAACTATTTTTTGTAACTAATCCAACGTTGTGTTTAGTAAACATGTGGTCGCAAGTCGTGAAAATGCTACTTGGGTAGTTAGTTTAGGTTAGCTTAGGTTATTCCTTCTGCGAACGCTTTAAACTTCATACGCATGCTTCGGATCGTTGTAGACTATTTCTGACTACTCTGCAAACGAAGCTTTTAAAACTTCGAGACTCAACTAAAATCGAGTTACCCATATACATATAAAGTAAAACTTACCTTTCCTGATCTTAGGGTTACTTTGCCACCGCACCTAGCACAACAGCGAATGGTGCAGTAGTTGCAGATGTGACCAATGCCGTCAGCAAACTTCGTTTTAAGGCAAATGTGACAGGTGGCTTCTAGTTCGTTGCCAGCTTTCTTGTGTTGCTCGCTGCGACTCCTGATCTGCTGTTCCAAGATCTGCACCTCGTCTGCCTTCCTCCTGCAAAGACATATATATCATTTCTTTAATGATGATCATAAAACAATCCATGCACTCAGATACAAAGGTAGATATTTCATATTTGAGAATATGAAGTATCTACCTTTAGCAAAATAAAAAAATGTTTCGCTAACCATGTTAGCATCATCAGCAGATGATTAAAACTGAGAGTTTTGGTTTGGTTAGGTTAGGTTAAGAAATAAAATAAATAATGACAATAGAAATCTGAAATTCTTTTAGTTTTAATACCCAATTTTTTTAGAAATAAAATTGTTTGTAATATTGTACCAGATAGTAAAAGACCTTGTAGGACACCTAATTTTGACACATCTCTGAAAGATTTTGCGTTAAATAGAAAGCATATTATCATTAAAAATAGAATCAAAGTTTTAACAGTATAGCAATAACTATTTGATTTATTTTCATAATACAGATGGATACGATAGTCACATATTCTACAACGTCGAATAACAGTATCTGCTTTTATTCTTTATTGCTTGCTTTACTATCTCATGTACAAACAATAAACTCTGCAATTTGCATGTAACTTTAGAAGTAAAATTGTTTATTGTATTTGTAACAAATTTCACAATACAGAAGAATATGATAACCACATATTTAAGAACATATAAGAATAAGAAATAATAAGAAATATGAAGTATCTGCCTTTACAAAATCCTTTAGGACAGCTGACTTTTTTTAAAAAAGGCTGAGAAATATATATTTTTTATTTATTTATTAATATCTCTGAAACTATCAAAACATATTTAAACAAAAAGTAATCTCTTTTAGATCACTTTAAAGTGATCTGAAAGAAAGCCAAAAATGCAATAATATACAGGGTGTTCCATTTAAAAAAAAATATCTCGATCCACTGACAGTTTTTGAGCCGCCCTATAGAAGTTAAAATATTTTCCTGAAATACATCCTCGTACATTCTTTAGGTTTGCACTTAAACAAAATTCTCAAGTTTTTGACTCTAGGAGCTACAGATGCCCGACGCACTATTGCCATACCCTGTATGAAGTATCTGCCTTTACTCTATTACTACCTTATGCACAAAGACTGCATAAACTCTGCAATTGTGTATTATAACAAACGTAAAAATCCTTGTAGGACAACCCTACTTTAACACATCTCCGAAAGATTTCGCATTTAATAGAAAGCATATTATTGTTAATAGAATCAAAGTTTTAACAGTATAGCAATAATTCAGCGTCAAATATAAAGTATCTGCTTTTACTTTCTATTGCTTACTTTATTACCTCATGTACAAACAATAAATTCTATGATTTGTAAATCTTCTAAAAAATTTCACAATACAGAAGAATATGACAACCACATATTTAAAAACATGAAATATGAAGTATCCGCCTTTAGTCTATTATTACTTTATGCACAAACAGTGCATAAACTCTGTAATTGTGTATTATAACAAATAGTAAAAATCCTTGTAGGAAAGCCTACTTTGACACGACACATCTCTGAAAGATTTTGCATTTAATAGACATCAAAGTTTTAACAGTATAGCAATAACTTTTTTTTTTCTTCATATTCTACAATGTCGAATATAAAGTTTCATGTACAATAAACTGTGCAATTTGTATGTAACTTTAGAAGTAAAATTGTTTATTGTATTATAACAAATAGTCAAAGCCCTAACATTATCTAAAATTTCACAATACAAAAGAATATGATAACCACATATTTAAGAACATGAAATATAAAGCATCTGCCTTTATTCTATTACTATCTTATGCACAAACATTAAACTCAGTAATTGTGTATGATAACAAATAGTAAAAAACATTGTAGGACAGCTCACTTTGTCATCTCTAAAAGATTTGTCGTTTAATCGAGAGCACATTATCATCAAAAATAGAACCAAACTTTTCGAGAGTACGTTTGACCGAATCCAAGCTCAAAAGGACCAACCTCATGATCTCCTGTTCCCGTTCCTCTTCCTCCTTCTGCCGCACCATGACCGACTCGATAATGGCCCTCTCTTCGGGAGTCAAATGGGACAAATCGGGCCCCTCGTCCATGCTCCTAGCCCCCGTCGGACATCACCCCGGCCTGCCTACCAACGAGGGGGGCCCACAAGTCTAGCGTCGCCGTGGGACATGCCAGCTAGGAGCTAGAGGTGAGGGCCAGCGGCACACCATAAGAAACGATGAAAGGCGAGCGAGCACCGAACTATGGACGACGATTCGCGCGATCGGGACACGGAATGGATCGCCGGGATCCTTTTTATTTCTGCTTTCGTCTGCCGAACAAACTACGGTCGAATATCACAGATGCATTTACCCATTCATGGACTTTTAATAAATAATGGGATGAGTTAAAATGGGACCAATAGCAGAGGCGGGCCGCGTGACGTCACCAGATAAGGATATTGATCGGGCGACGACAGGCCGGCGCTGTGTGGGATCGGTAGAGGTCCGAATATACAGTGGCGGGTATTATTAGAGGGAAGGGTACGTTAAATCAGAATTCGTACAAAAATTTGTTCGTATAGAAAAAAAAGTCGTCAGAAAAAAATTAATACAGACTTTGACATACAGGGTGGTCCGAACTGTATTCCGGAAACTTCGGCGGCATATTCTGCAGATAAACATAAGAAAAAAAGTTCGTATAAATGTATGTTCTAAAATGCTTAGTTTCAGAGATACAGGGTGTAGAAGTTTCATTTTTATTTCGATTTTTTCCTAATAATTTTTGAAGTAAAGTCAATATTTGGATGCAAATTGGTGTCTGGAAGTTTTTTGACACGAGAAATTTGATTTCGATATCAATATTACTCCTGCTTGTAGAGGGCGCCACCTACATATTTTTCAACTGGTTTGTAGAGTAATAACTGTTCGTCCGTACCTGTATAAAATTACTGAGTAAAAAAATATACATGTACGACGTTTTTTATGTAAAAAAGGTCTCTTGGTAAAAATCGTTACGATCGAGTAATGGTTCTCGATATATTTGGAATCAAAATTATCAATACTTGTCATCGTTGACATAAATAATTAAACATGTTGACTAAATAGTTATTAGACTGGAATCATCAATTTGAAATATTTTTGTGTCAAAAGTTCAACAGAAACTGTTTTATCATCATTTTTTAGCAGAATAATTTATAGTTAACTTGAAAAAAAATATATTTCAGAAATTTATTATTTCAGTTAAATAAGTATCTACTAACATGTTTATTTTTTGTCAATGACATGTTTGACTATTTCCATTTTATATATCTTGAGAACGGTCGCTTGTAGTTATTTTTACCAAGAGACATTTTTCACGTAAAAAGTCACACACAAATAGGAGTCATATTGACATCAAAATCAAAGTTCTCATGTCAAAGAACTCCCAGAAACTTCTACACCCTGTATCTACGAAACTAAGCACTTTAGGCACTTTATATACATTTATACAAACTTTTTTACTTATTTTTATCTGCAGAATATGCTGCCGAAGTTTCCGGAATACAGTTCGGACCACCCTGTATATCTAGACTAATTCTAAAAAAACGAATCTTTATAATATGGCAACAGCTAGTAGATTTAACTGACAATAAAAAAAACAGAAAAGATCCAGTCGTTTTCAAAAGATCCAGTCGTTTAAGCAATTTTTTTTTTTAATTTTCAAAACAAAATAACTCGGTTATTTTGGATATGAAAAACGGTAAAGAGAAAATATGTTTTTTTTTCAGGCGTCGCAAAAGTATTACATAATTTTTGCGACGTGAGTGACAATTGACAAATGTCGGACTCGCTAACGCTACTCCGCCAAACGTACAGAACACAAACCAAACGTACATTCTCGCCACGAAAAGTATCATTTTTATTCCCCCATTTTTATGGTCCCTTTCGAAGCAGATATGTACGCTACTGATCGCAAACTGGAGTCGATTAGACAGCTGACGTTTGAGGAGTACGCTATACGGTAAACTCCGCGTACTTTTTTAGTTGATTTTCTATGGTAACTAATATAATAACTAGTAACGACCGTTATAAATAGTATAACTTACCCCGCTTGGTTTTATTTACTTAAATTATTAAATAGAACGGATATGGGTTAACATAAATATTTTTTGTTAAAAATTAGTTAATATTTTGGATTTATTTTTGACAGAATGTCATAAAAACTGAATAAACACGGGTAAAAACGTCTTTAATAAAATGTATTTATTTCTAGACAATACACAATAAACTTATAAGTAAATATTTTTTTTATATCTCGATATCTACGCGAAAATCATTTCATCTCTGCGCCGTTTTGGAGCATTTGGTTTCGCCTGGCATTCGGAGTGGTTCATTAGTTCCGGTGGACAAGTTGATACAGGCGAAGCCAATAACATTTGCTTCAAATCGTAGAAAAGTGCCGAATCTTCGTTGGTACAGAAACTGACAGCGATACCAGTCTTGCCTGCACGACCCGTACGACCAATACGATGCGTGTAATCTGAAAATAATGTAAAAAACATTATCAAAAGTCCTCTGAACAATTTTATGAACAAAATCTGCCAACTTACCTTCAATTGTCTTAGCCATGTCATAATTAATGACCACAGACACGTCTTTGATGTCGATACCTCTTCCGGCGACATCTGTCGCCACTAGAATGTCTTTGGCGCCAGATTTCAAACTGGCCAAAGCATATTCTCTCTGTTCTTGACCTTTACCACCGTGAAGGGTACAAGCATTGTAGCCAAGTTTCTCCAAACCTAAAAGTATAATTTAAAATGTATTTCTATATATATACAAGGTGTCTTAGAAAAGTATTACAAAATCTACATCATTTTATAATTAAGAAATATTGCATAAAAGATTGGTATGTGCTATACTTCGATATTAGTTTTTTACCTTTTGTTAACATTTTAATACATTTTTTTCGTAATTAATTAGTATGATACCACCGGATACATAGGCGTAGTAAAAACATTTATCAAATATATAAATATCACTTCAAGCGGCTATGTTAAGAAAAATATGCACTGTTTGGAAGAAACGGCACAGTTTGGTCTCGTGTGTTTTTTGTCCTTTTATTTTTTAGACGTTGATAAAACCTAATGTTTGGTTCCTTCTTTAGCATTATTATTCAACGCTTTTTTTATATAGGGTGATTCACGGCGATGGCACGTTAGACGTTTATGGAGAACCGGTGATAGAACTCCATCTTTCTAAAATATTTTCAGCGTTACAGTGTTGCCACATCATTTGAAAAGTGGTAGCATCTTTCTTATTATAAATGGAACACCTGGTATATTATTACATTTTTGGAAACTACTTTTATATCTCATAATTTTTCTATTATACTAACCTATACCTATTTTTAATAGTTTTTGAGATAAAAAATAAAATATGTGTAAAATTGACAAAAACATGATCGTGAATAAGCAGTGGTAAAATCATGAATTAAACGTTTTTAAAATTGAAATTGGGATTTTATTTTATGAAATATTAGATAACATTGTTATACATTTAGAAATAAGGTTTGCAGATATGTCTCAATTATTTTTATTTATCTATTGCTGATTCACAGAAATTTAAAGAATCCTATAAAAAAATTCCAAAGCATTTTATATCTGATTTTACAAACTTTTACCGCAATGTTTTTGACCAACATAAATTAATGAATAAATTGCAGGTATTAATAATAGATAATATGATAATTTTCGATTATAAAATAATTTAAGGAGAATGATCCTGGAAATACATTTCTAGAAAGTTGCAAATGGTTTGCTTTGATTTGAGACTATAACATAGGATACAACATTTTAATGAACAGTGCTTTCCATAAAATCAAAAAAATGAAAAATATACGAAATAATATACATGTACTGATTTCTGTCGAAAATCGACAACTATGAAACTATGATCCCTTCCCCGACACAAACGGTACATTGTGAGACAGGAAATTGTAGAGAGAAATAAGCCCTATAACATAGGATACAACATTTTAATGAACAGTGCTTTCCATAAAATCAAAAAAATTAAAAATATACGAAATAATATACATGTACTGATTTCTGTCGAAAATCGACAACTATGAAACTATGATCCCTTCCTTGTGAGACAGGAAATTAGAGAGAAATAAGCCCTATAACATAGGATGCAACATTTTAATGAACAGTGTTTTCCATAAAATCAAAAAATTCGAAAAATATACAGAAATAATATACATGTACTGATTTCTGTCGAAAATCGACAACTATGAAACTAAAGATCCCTTCCCCGACACAAACGGTACACTGTGAGACAGGAAATTGTAGAGAGAAACAAGTCCTATAACATAGGATACAACATTTTAATGAACAGTGCTTTCCATAAAATAAATAAAATGAAAAATAAATAGATGAGATCAATAGTTGTTGCCGACAGATTGCCCTCGAGACTTGTTTATTCGGTGCGGCCAACGCAAAAAAGACGCTAAGCAAACTTTATCCTATGATGTATGTTTAAATATTTGTTTATTAACAAGAAAGAGTATCGGTTTTTTGTTACAAAGTACTGATTGACACTTTGATTTTGCGCCCCCAAAATGTTGCGCCTACGTGCGTGCACGCACTGCACGCTCGCCAGGAACGGCCCTGGGGGCAAATAGATGCAACTAAAAACTTGTCGCGTACCCAGTCCCACGGGTCACTAGCCGCCACTGCTATAAACCAAATATTAGCTTTCAATATGCCGAATTTATGATTTTTTTTCACAACCGAATTTATGATTTAATCAATGCTTAGAAACACTAGAAAAAATATGAGATTTGGGAGTAGTTTCGAAAAATATAATAATATACCGGGTGTTCCATTTAAAATAACAAAGATGCTACCACTTTTAGTATGAAACGGCAACACTGTAATGCTAAAAATAATTTAGACAGGTGGAGCAGGTGCCTTTATGCAAAAGTCCAAATTTTCAATAAAATCCTACCACCGGTTCTCCATAAACGTTTAACGGGCCAGGGCCGTGAATGTAGAATATTTAGTAATGAATTAAAACAATACAGAATTTGACAATAACCTTTAGCAAGAACGTCTGCTCCTTTCTTTTGGTTGACGAATATAATAATCGGGGGATCGATACCCTTAGAAAGGTATTCCATAAGTTTGCGTCTTTTGTCGTTCTCGCCGATAATGTGCACGATTTGTTCCACTCTTTCGGTAGGTTTACCAATCGAACCGATATATACCACAGCTGGACGTCTAAGATACGTCCTTGCCAACCTATAAAACAAATATAATTTTTATTATCTTTTATTTTTCATTTTGTTTTTGTTTATTTTTATTATTTTTTTATTTTTTTTATTTTGTATTTGTTAAGCAGTTTACTCTTAAAATTATTGTAGTTAGTTGAAAACGGCAATAAAATAAAATAATGCACCAAATAAAACCAAACCAAACCAAACTTGTTTAAATCACTTGTTTAAACAACATAATGTGGATAGCATTCAAAATAAAATAAAAATAAGTTGGGTAATGATAATGCGGAAAAACTTATTTTGATTTTTAAAGAACTTAATGGTACTACTCCAACTTGCAGCACAAAATAGTAAGTTGAAGTGATTATACATATTATCATGTTTATTTTATTAGTTCTATTACCCGAGTTAGGTACTTTTTTTCTATTATAATGAGTTGAAAGATATTTTTTTCTACACAATATTAGGTTAAGATGATTATTGTTTTTATTCCTTTTGTATTAAAGTTGTTAATTTCCGAAAAATAGTTTTTATATTTTTATTGAAAAAAAAAACACTTACACAACAAAAATGTTTAAAACAGTGTTTTAAAAATACTTTATACAATTTTATTTAATTTATTTTTCTTATTTTTAATTAATCTTTTACTTTTCATTCTTATTTTCAAAGTTCTAAAAATTGTAGTGAAAAATCAATTTTAAAAAAATTTTTAATGAAAAAAAAAATAAAAACAGAATCATACCTTTCAACTGCAGGTGGCATAGTAGCCGTAAACATCACCGTCTGTCTATATTTCTTTTTGCTGTTATAATTTGCCAATAGCAATTTACTATCCTCAGCTTCTTCAGTGTCAGGCTTCAAGTTCGTTACAGGCATATACTCTAAGATCTTCTGCACATCCGGCTCAAAACCTGTTAAAAAATACAACAACCCTATCATAACCATGAAAATTATGAGACCTAAGAACTAAAGAATGTATTAAAAACACTATTAAATTTGTAAATATTGACAAGTAACTCTTACTAGTGTTGTAAAACACCCGAGAATATTTTATTATATTCATTCTTACACTAATTCATACCTAAATCTATCATACGATCTGCCTCGTCCAGTACAATGTAAGTACACTGATTTAAAACAAGATATCTATTTTCCAACACATCAATCAAACGACCGGGTGTAGCTATGACTATTTCACATCCCAGTCTCAACCTGAAACCTTGTTCTTCTCTGCTCAAACCTAAAAAAATTAGGAACAGCATTATTACACATTACACTAAATATTTTTTTATGTTACCTCCAACAACAACTACAGTTCTTATTCCCAGAGGCTGACCAAACTTGACACTCTCTTCTTCAATTTGCTGTGCCAATTCACGAGTAGGCGCGAGAATGATGGCGTAAGGTCCTTGATCAGCTACTTCATTTCTTTCGATTTTTGGTAGGGATTGGATCCAGGAAAGTAGAGGAATCAAAAATGCTAATGTTTTACCAGAACCTGGAAAATATTCATTAATAGTACATTACTACAAAATTGTACACACCAACTACAATATAGTAAAACAGTTTTTTTAGCCATGTTAAACTCCTGATTAAAACTGTTAAAATTATTATTTCAACATGGTTAGCAAAATATACAGCACTGGTATTCAAATGACTGATCTTGTAATTTTTAGTTGTAATATCAAAGGTTCTAAACTAAGCTGTACTAGAAAACATTAAAAATATTCTTTACCGCTTTCATTTTTGATATGTCATGATATTGTTGCAATAACTAAGATTCCTAAATTCCTAACCTAAATTATACTAACACTAAAAATACTTCAGCTGTTAATCTTTAATCCAAAATAAAATGTACTAGCAACAAAAAAAAACGGCGTCCAGTAAGCTTGGAATGACAATCAATGCCATTACCCATATAATTTTACATATAAAAGGACAGCGATCTTCATTTCATAGCCATCGCTGACGCCGTTTTACAAAAGTAACTGTACTAGCAACAATAGTACATGGGCAATTTTTGTAATATTCTGTTACAACCTCAAAGCCCCAAATACTGTACCTGTTTCATCATTAGAATTATATGTTTCAAAACCAAGAGTTCAAAATTAAATTGTACTGGCAACACTAAAAATAGTACACCTCTTTCATATTTCGTTCCTGTTGAAACCCTCAAGGTTTAAAATTAAGTTGTAGTGTCTATTTTTTTTGTAGTTTCCTGTTGCAACATTAAAAGTTTCTAACCTAATTGTACTAGCAACACTACAATACTTTATTGGTTGTTTTTTCATCTCCTGTATTAAATCCCATAAAACATAAAATCATAAATTCCAAACTAAATTGTACTAGCTACACAAAAATAGTTTGCCAGTTTCACTGTTAACACTTTCTGTTGCAATACTGAGATTTACAAATAAAATTGTACTAGCAACTTAAAAATATTTTATGTACTTTTTTAATTTTCTGTTGCAGAACAAAAACCCTTCAAACAAAAATGTATTAGCAACAGTAAAAACGTAGTAAAAATAGAGAACAACGGTTAGGTTGTAAGGCGGCCACAGCTGCCACTTATACATAGACATAAAAAATCTTAAACATGTAAAAATAAAACAAATGCGCATGCGTACGTAAACGTTTAGGTGTTTGTAGTCTGTGCCGTTGTTCTCTAATACTTACCTACTTCATTTTTTAAATTAACTGTTGCAATACTGAAGCCTCATAATCTAAATTGTACTAGCAACATGAAAAATACTTTAGTTTTTATTTTTATTGCAATTTTCTGATGCTACACCAAAGATTCTAAACTAATATACACTAGCATCACTAAACATGCTTTACCTGCTTCATTTATTTTTTCCTGTTACAACACTAAAGTTTCTGTACTAGCAACATTATAGATACTTTACCTTTTTCTTTTTTTTGCAACAACACCAAATGTTTTGACATAATTTGTACTAGCAACATTAAAAATATATTTTACCTGTTTCAGCTACACCAATAATATCCCGATTTTGCATACCAATCGGTATGGCCTGCCTTTGAATAGGAGTGGGTTCTTTATAACCAATTTTATCAATAATTTCCAAAACTTCTTTCTGAATTCCTGACTCCTTCCAGTTTCTGATTGGCTCAGGAATTTTTCCACCTACAACATTAAATTTATTTATCAAATAATGTTTAATACATTTTTTTTAAATACCTTTAATTGTAATATTATAATCTTCTCTGAAAATTCTCCAATCTCTTTCAGTCATCTCTTCTTTTTCTTTTTCTGACCAATGTCTGTCATCCCACAATTGTTTCTCCTCCTTTCTTTTCACCTTCTTCAGTCTCACTTTTTCCTGAGCTTTTTCAGCTTCTGTTCTTCTTTTTTCCAATAATTCACCATAGAATTTGCTTTGGTCTCTTTTTTGTGCCTTAATGTCGATACCTGCTAAATTACCTCTTCCAAAAAATTGTACCTGTAATTTTGATTTAATAATTTTAATATTAAGTTATAAATATCGTAAAATACAAAACAAAATACCTGATGTCTTTCTTTATACAAAGGATTATAATCAAGGGAAGTATCTTCCCCGGCATCCCAATCAAAAACAAATTTCCTGTCATTCAATCTTCTCACTCTTCTCTTTTTCTTGATCAAACCCAAATAACTAAAAAGAGAAAAATACATATAACATAAACAGTTCAATATATACTTTACTGTATACCGTTCTTTAATAGCATCTTGCTCCTTTTCCTTATCCTTGTCTTTCTGTTTCTCTTCTTCCCTCTCCCTATCTCTGCCTCTTCTGTCTCTATCTCTATCATCTTTTCTATCATCTTGATTTCTCACTACTTGTATTGTTTGTATAATTTTTCTCTCTTCCTCTTGGAGTTTACGCTGTTTATCAACTTCTTCCTGTCTTCTTTTTAATGCTTCAGCTGCTCTTTGCTCTTTAGTCAAAAATACAGGCTAAAATTAAGAAAAGAGTCCAATAATATTTACTAATAATTATAGTAAAACATGATTTAATACCTACTTTACTCTTTGCTGCTTCCTCTGCTTTCTTTTTAGTTAACAATTCTTCTAATGACAATGGTTCTTTTTTGATTGATTCCTCTTTAACTTGTCCTTTGACATCTGGTTTAATATCTTCTTCTTGCTTAAGATCTTTTAATTTCCTTTCTCTTTCTTCTTTACGTTCATCCTAAAATAATATAAACATGGATTTTTAGAAACTACGAATGAAAAAATATACCTTTCGATCTCTATCTCCTCGGTACTTATCCTTATCGGTTTTAAAGTCATCTTTCCTATCTAGTTTGTCTTCTCTTCTATCGTTCCTGTCCTCTTTTGTATCGCGTCTCTCATACCTATCTCTTGATCTAGATCTGTGTCTTTTAAGCGATCTTTCTTTACTTTTAGAACGCGATTTTCGCCTCTTTTCTCTATCTTTTTCGCTTCTCTCCTTACTTCTAGAGCGACGCTTCTTATCACTGCCCATAACTTATAGTTAATACAAACGAACAAACCAGTTATAAATTAAAAAAAGGCTTCAATATTAAACAAACTGCAGCAAAATTAAATAAATTTAATTTCCAATTTGAAAATAAAAATACACATATGACACAAGTTTGACACAAGCATATGACACAGATGACTTAAATGACACAATTGACACATGACTCTTCTTTTTGTTATTTCGAAAATTTATTATTTTCATATACATATTTTTTATAGACTTTTAATATCATACTTAATCGGATAGCGCTGGCAGCTGTGACCTTAAAATATATTCCTACTAACATCGTATAAAATGAAAGCTACCCACAGAACTACGAATACGTGTTTTTATATTGATCTGTGGTCATATCATAATTGGTCGGATAGCTCTCGCAGCTGTAGCTTTAAAAGATATCCCTACTTGCATCATATAAAATGAAAGCTACCCACAGCACTGAGAATATGGGAGTTTTCTATTGATCTGTGGGCATATAAGAGTAAGAGAAAGTGAGAAGTGTGTAAAGAAGAAGGAAGTGAGTAAAAGTAAACAAACAAAAATATGGTAAACATGCCAAGCCAGCGAAATTTGAGTTACCTACTTTTCAATATAATTAATTTAGTAGAGTAGATTCTCAATTATCTTTTGTTTTAGCAATAGGTAAGGCCCAAGTATTCAAAGATAAATCTAATTAGAAGGTTAAAATATCCTAGAGCTGGGTATTTATTGCATGATAAAATAGATACAAGTAACCTTACACAAGATCAGAGTTTATAAAATGCAATATTATAAAATAAGGACAATACATACACATACACAGTAATTAAACGACGCTTATTTAATGCAAATCAAATATTGTTTTAGCCAATAAAGTACTAAGATGAGTAACTACAGATGCAGAACTTGTTTATATACATGTGAGAAAGATTCTGCATTCAGAAAACTTGATAATTTGCAAGATTTGCTACAGCTGATTATTCCAGAAATTGTAAGTACACTATTTAACCTGCTACAGGCCACTAATTTTTATTTATACCATAGAAGTCCCAGATCAGTAAGACCTCTCTTATTTGTGAACAATGTTTTTATTTTCTTAAAAATGTAGAGATATTTAAAAACAGATGTTTAGAAATACAAGATAAATTTGTATCCATTACTTCTGCTATTACTATTCTACAAGTTAATGTACCACAAGATGTAGTTCAAAATACAAGTTCAGTATTGTATGATTCACCGAATGATAGTCAAGCAGTTATAAGAAATGATGATCTTTTACAATTACTGAACAGCAAAACAAGTAAATGTGATCTAGAAGCAGAGAAGAATAAATGTAATTTTGTTGATTCAAATGAGAATATAGAAATAGAAATAGACAGTAGTGATGAAGATGAGTACATGTCAAGGGAGGATCTTATTTCTTCTGGAGTAATTGTTGATGATAAAGGTAAATATTCAGATATATTCATGATAAAAATGATATGTCTTTAATGGTAGTGTGTAATAAAAGGAAAGAGTAGATATAAAGAATGTATGGATCAATAACATATTTTATCATATTGTTCTATAATAGGTGTATTTGTTTATTATTACAGACACTAACAGTGGAGATATAGAGTTTATTGGATTTTGCAATAGTAAGAATCCTGTGATGAAAGAAATTCATCCTCCAAATAAATATAGCAGTAATAAAGTACCTGTTATTAGTCAAGTAGGTGAAAATGTAGCTGATATTGTGCCGAAGAAAGAGTTACAGGAGAATGTTTCAGGGTACATACTTTCAAAACATATCTATTTTTAGATGCAAATATTTACCTAAATTATTTCAGGTCGTTTTATAAAAGGTCCCAAGGTGGTCTGTACGAATGTAGATTATGTGATAAGAAATATAAAAGGTCTAAATTCTTACACCGGCATTTAAAAAAGGAGCATGTCAATCAGTTGAAATGTTTTTATTGCGACTACTGTAACTTTGTATGCCTGTGGAGGTCATCACTGAAGAGACATAATTCAATTTTTCATAAATAAAATTATTACAGGAAGTAATATTGATTATTATTTTCTGTATATTAACGTTACATGCCAAATAAATTTTTGGTTGTTAATATATAAGACTTATGATATTGCATGATTAAAAGGTGTTAATATTATGGTGCAATCTTAGAATCTCGATAATTTTTTACATGTGTAAGTGTTCTTTTAAATTCAGTTTTAAATATTTCTGAATTTGATTTTCAAGATATTTTATATTAAATATAGTAACACAAATTTTGATATATTTTTACATACACACATATCTGTGTTTTATATAAATATATGTAATATTTTTTGTTGCATTCTTGACTGTTTTCTCTTTGTAAAGAAGTACCTGTATTCTATTAAATAAAATAAAAATTGCTTGTAGAACGCATAGTTTTAATCATAGAATCTTGACAATAATTTACTATCAACAGTCTAAAATTTATTCCAGAATTCGTATATATACATATATATTTATTTTTCATCAAATATTAATACCAGGAAAATAATACCAATATAATAAAACAATTTATTTATAAAGATTTAAATACGGACCTAAGGGCTCGAACACACTGACGACCAGGTCGCACCGTCCAGGCCTTTTATTATACGTGTACGTTACGACCTGGTCGTCAGTGAGCCCTAAATGTCCTCATAATTTTTCAAGATCTATATTTTTCGAAAATTATACCAAAGATAAATAAAATAATTACAATTTTTATTTGAAAAATAATAAATTTGGCATATTTTTTTATACATAAAATTAGCTTAAAAATGCAGAAATGTAGGATACAGTAATAATTTCTTCTCTCTGTATATATAAATTATTTATTTTAATAATATAGCGTGCAGTGACAATATAGGTAAGTTGAATAAAACGTATAAATATCATGCGATCGAAAATAAAATAGCTTATGACCTTTAAAATGACATACAACTGATAATAATGTTATTTATTGAGTCATTTATTAAAAAATGACATTAAATCCTGTCATAAATTATTGATGTTCAAAATGCTCAAAGGTCAGTACGCCGCTTTTTTTCTTTTGAACTTAGGTAGTATATAAATTTAAATATATTTCATACTAAATAAACTTTATTCCTTATTTCTCTGAACATTAAAATATAGTCTAATATTAAATGGCCAATCGGTACAAAATTCCGTTAACAAAACTTTAAAAACCTACATAACCTACCATCACATTCTTTTTTTTTTCATGAGATATATTTACACCGTTATCAATTGTCCGGAACACCACGCACAACGATGCAAAGTCTCATTGGGTTGAACCAGATTGCTTGTCTTTATTTCAGACAATAACAATATAATTTCATCTGCAGTTTGTGTAGTATCAACTTTACTATCCCCAGCTTCAATATTCTTGTGAGTTTCTGTGATTTTATTAATTTCACTGTTAATTTTTGAATGACTTTCGCACAAATTGCTTGAATGATTCTTCATACTCTCTTGGTGTTCTATTAATTCTGCTGGTATAACTCCTTTTTCTTTAACTAATTTCGTGATAAGTTGATTTAATCTGTCGAGTTTGGTTTTGATTTGTTCTCGATCACAGGCTAGTTGCTTTAATTGTTGGTCTTTTTCTAAGGCTTTTTGCTTCAATACCTTCCTTTGGTGCTGATAAAGAGCCACATATTCTTCTATGGTTTCAGTTTCGCTTTGGAGTTGAAGAACAATGTGTTCCAACCTCTGTTTTTCATCAGATAAGTCAGCTATTTCTTGCATCGTTTTTTTCACCTTCTCTTCCAAGTATTTCATCGCTTTTTCTTTGTTCACTATATTGTCGTTTGTGTCAAAATTCTCCGTAACCTCGTTCCCATTTAATAATTTCAACCGGTTCACTTCATCGGATAATTCTAATATTCTTTTCCTCGCTTCTTCTAATTCAACAATTCCATCGCCATTAACATTTTTTTCAACATGAGATTCAGATTTAACTCTATTTAATTCGTTGGTAAGTTGTGCAATAATCTGTTTGGCATTGTGTAATTCATTTTGAAGAATATGTGCCGAATTATCATGTGCTTCGTAATGTCTTAACCTATCTTCTAGTTGCTCGTGGTGTAATGTTTGTCTGTTCATTTCATCAGATGATTCTCTTAGATGGGTCAGTTCCTTGTCTTTTATTTCGATGGCGTCCGCTAGGGATTGAAGCGAGAGTTCGGTTTTTTGTAATTTTTCAATAAGTTCCTTGTTAGTTTGTTGCTGACCTTTGAGGTTTTCTGTCAATTCTACCTTATCATTGTCCTAAAATAAAAAAAAATGCTAAAATTCGTACTTTTTTTTAAATAAGTGCAAATATTTTAAGCAAAAATAGAGCCCATCAAAAACTTCTAAGAACTGCAAATTCCACGTACCAAGTATGTACCACATTTCTAATTATGGCACAAAAAGCTATTTTTAACCTATTTGAACAATTGAAAATGTACAAATTATCTATACATTTCCATTAATAATAGTTATAAATTATGTGTTTTTATTAAATTCAAAGAGTTAGTTCTAGAGTTAATTCAGCTTAACACTAACCATTTTCTGGAAAACTTCTTGCATACTTTCAAGCTGCTGTTTTAGCTCTTTGTTTTGCTGAATAGCTCTTGAAGCAGCAACTTTGTCACTCTCCATGGCAGCTAACAACTTAACACTGTCAGGCTGATTGCCTCTCAACTGGTCTATCATGCTTTCCAATTGAGAAATCGAGTCTGTTTTTGCTTCTAACTCACCTAACAGTAGTTTCTTTTCATTGGTTACCTAAAAATTTAAAATTAAAAAAAAAGACATAAAAATAAAACAAGAAAAAAGAAAAATAAACAAAAATGTTTGAAATTTCACCTTGGTATAACTTTCTTCTGCTGTGGTTTTCTCAATTTGCAACTGAACACACAATTCTTTGAATTTTTCAAGTTCCTGCTTCAATTCTCCACTGTTGGAATTGGTTGAATAAGAAATATGTTCATCCTGTATATTTTGAAGCTGCCTTTCCAATTCGCCAATGTGTTTTATCCTGTTCTGTTCTTGGATAACGAAATTTTCTTTTTCTTTTTGAAGTTGCTCCAGTTTAGAAGATAAATTTGTTAATTGAACTAAAAAAATAAAAATCTGAAAACTGTTATAGCAGTAAATTCAAAATAGTAACCTTTAAACATATAAATTTGATAACTGTACTAATTTTTATAAATATACAAGGACTTTAAACAAAACCTGACTTTTTCACATATTTCTTTCAATGTAAAGTTTTTGACACCCACTGTATATATAACAAACAAATATTTTTACTTACCATTTAATTGTTGAGCATACTGCTGATACTGGGCACTCGATTCATCCCTCTCTTTGATTATTGATTTTAAAGTTTGATTCAACTGCGTCACCTGACTTTCTAAAGCAAATTTTTCATTGGTTAGTATTTCTACTTGATTATCCACACCTGAAACACCCCCAAATGACAGTTGTTGGATTTTAATATCAGCTAATGATAATTTTCCAGCTAGTTCCTACAACACACTTAATTTACTAAATCTCACCAACTAAAATTAAGCGATTTACCTTGGTTTCTTGCTGCAATTCAATATTTTTTTCTGAAGTCATTCTTAATTTTTCCCTAACTTCAAGCAGATCTTGAGCTAACTCATCCTTTTGCTGTTTTAAAAGCTTAAATTCTTGCTTAAAGTTTTCAAGAGTGAGATTGTAATGTTGTTCTGCAGTGTCTGTTCTGTTTTTTTCTTCTTTCAAATTACTTAATTCCCTTTCTAATTCTATCACTCTCATTCTGGAAGCTTTAAGCCGTCCTTGAAGCTCTTCACATTCTTCTATTTTCTGTTTATGATTCAATTCGTACTGCCTCAAGTTTGAAGACAGTTCAGTTTTTTCTGCTACTAATAATCCAATGGTTTGCAAATGAGCTTGAAGTTCGCTGTTTAAATGGCTAATTTCTTGTGCATTTTGTAAATTTGTTTCTGACTGATTTTGTTTTAATTCACTTCCTATATCTTGGATTCTATCTTGAAGTTGTTTGTTTGCTAAAGTTAATTGCTCAGACTTATTTTTTTCTTTTTCAAGTAATGCAGCTAGTTCGATGTTTCGTTTTTCCAAGTCAGTAATTGAACTGGTAGAAGAGTAATTGTAATTATGATCAATCATTTCTGTTAACTGGTTAGAGAGCTGTTTTAAGCTTTCTACATTTGAATGTTGGATTTCTTTTTTAGTTAAAGCAGTTGATTTATCTATTTCTTGACTTATTTCATTAATATCTGCATTTTTATCAATAGGAGTGATGCTGTCTCGATAGCTTACTAGTTTTTCAGTTTTGTTAGGTATAAAAATATTATCTAAATTTTTTTGGTAAAATTCTACTACTGGTTCAGGAGCTATAGCAAGATTCTCGGCACTTTTACTTACAAATTCTTGAATTTCATTTTGTTTAATCTCGGGATCGTCTAAGCATAATGCATCATTTGTATTTTCAGCAGGCTTTTCAACATTGTTAGGAAATAGTTCATAACCTTGTGGGTGATTATCTTGTCCTACAGCAGTATCCAACACAAGTGAATTTCTACTACTATCAAAATATCTAGCTTTTCCAATATTTTCTGAATTAGGTTGATCAGAATTATCCTCGTTTCTTGTACTAAAATACGTTAAAAGTGAAGGATTCTGCTCTAAGGGATTAGATGTATTCTGAGCAGCAATATTATCAAAAAATGTAGCTTGAGGACCATAACTATTATTTTCAAAGTAATTTGCTGTTGCAACAAGCGTTTCATCTTGATTAAAAATTAGATTATCAGAAGGTACATTGCCATTCCTTGTTTCTTCAAGAATATTGGAAACAGTACTTTCAATGGGAATAAGATAACCTTCATCAACTTTACTACTTTCATTGTGGACTGATGATTCTTGAACTTCAATTGGCGTATTTCTATAACTTGATTCATGGCTATTTGCATTGCTACTGTCCGCTATGTCTTTTTGATTGTGTCCCTCATTTCTCCTTTTCTTCAACTCTTGTAGCTCCTTAAACTAAAAATAAGTTTACATGACAGTTGTGCGGTGATGTGGCCTAACCAACAAGACTCTTAAAATTATTTCGCATGGATTTACATAAATTTCAGAAAGCTTAAAAGCACATTATATATGAGAGCATATTAATTAAACAAACTTACCCGCTTCCTAGTATTAGCTAACTTTAATTTTTTGTCTGTTGTAGCATCTGCCATAATTTCTGTTTTGATTTATTAATTTTGACGTTTGGAAGTTGATGGAAGTTGACACGTGACATTTTTCTTCTTAATTTTTTTTAGGCCGGAAACTAGATCATATTTTTTTAATTTATTTAAAGGCCTGAGCTACTAGGACTATCCGACCTACACTAGATCATATAAATTTTCTTCATTTATTTTTTTATGGCAAGAGCAGTTTAATTTTGTGAAGGCTGGCTACATGGTGGTTTGTTTCAGAACAAATTAAACGTAAAGAAGAAAATACGTGCAAATTGACGTAAAAATAAAAAGAAGTCGGCTCAAAATAATTCACTCTAACCCTGAATTTGTGATCAGCATAATTTTTTATGTTTATGTAAAATTAATATGATTCACTGTTAAAATTATATTAAAATAGAAAAAGTCTATTTAAGTGGCCGAATAATGGCTGTTGTTCTAAAAAAACGGGCCCTTGCTGAGTACAGCCAAACGATTACACAGGTTTGTAAATATGTAATTTATGCCTATCGACAAACTATAACATTTTAATGTTTAGGACACATCCCAAGCACCTATTAAGAAATTAAAATTGATTAAAAAATCACTACCTGAGACATCCAGCTCGTTAACCACAGTGGTTAGTCACTTACAGGATTGTAAAAGTAGTAGTCAAGCATTGAAATTGCTATTAGGTATAACGGAAAAAATTGAAATAAACCCAGCTGATGTTCTGGAAGTAATCAAAAAACTAAGTGATCACTTTAAGAATGAATCAGAGTCTGTTGTAAGGATGAAGATTTTAATGTTGTTGTCAGACATTGGCCAAGAAATTCCTTCTGAATGTTCAAATATTATTGATGAGATAATAATATTATTAAAAAACGATCATTCACATAAAGTTATAGCTCAAGGAATGAAAACTATAATTAAGTTAGGGAGATTAGTTACAGATAATACAGAAACATTTCATCAGAAACTAGTAGAGATTGCAAAGAATTATTTAAAGGATGCCAATCATGCTGTAAAGTCTCGATGCATGGAAATTATTGGAACATATGTACCATTATCTACCGGTCAAGATGCAGAAAAATTATTTCACTTAATAAGTTCCTATTTTAATAATGATGATGCTCGTGTGAGAAGTCAGGCATTTCAAACAATAATACTTTTATATGATAGAGGTTTCAAAATCAATCCAAACATATATGTTTACGTATCAGATGCACTAAAAGATGACTATGAAATTGTAAGGAGTGTTGCTCTGAAACTGATATGGATACTGGGAAACACATATGCAGAAAAGTATTTAACACTTTTTGTTTATTGAATGTTATTGATGAAAAATGTTAATGGGTTTGTTTTTTATTTAAGTGAAATTGTTGTGGCAGGCAGTAATCATGAAATCAGATTGATAGATGATGCTTTTGGAAAAATATGCAATGGAGTTACTGATCTATCAATGCATGTGAGAACATTGGCTGCTAAATTATTAGGATCAATGAAACTGGTCAGTCCTAAGTTTTTATGCCAGACACTGGATAAAAAGTTGATGTCAAACATGAGAAGGAAGGTAATAATATATTCATAGAATTGGCTTTACAAAAGCGACAGTATGCGTTGGTTCCTTTAAGTTGTTAATCCAAATTTTTTTGGTCTTGAATTCATATTTTGACAATTGTACACTGAAAAAAATGCTTACACTGAAAGAAAAAAATCTTTATATACCTGTTTCTATATTATATTTTATTGTCACATTAAATTTTTTGCTAAATTTAATAAGACCTACAAATTCAAAAAAATAAAATTATAAAAGTCATGACATGGGATAATAACAGGGGAGAAATATTTGAAAATGTAGTTTTAGCTTTTCAAAAAATATTTTTGCAAGTAAAAAACAAACTAAACAAAACTTGACAACCAGTGCCATTATAGTGATGGTTGGTTCCTTTTTTTTACGGATCAATTTGGAACTGATCTTATATACGCAAATACCTGATCCCAGGATTAATTCCTGATACCAATCCCAATGGCTGTTTTCGATTCACTCTAGTTTGGCTTCAAGGCTAACTAATATCAAACTATATACCCACTGATACTAATCCCGGCTGATCCCGGACCAGTTTTACTATTATTTTACTCATTTTGATACCGCTTGCAGATAGCACGCAAAGCGGGATCGCTGCAAAAAGAACCAAGTTTCGAGTCAGACTACAAAACAGTCGTGCTTCATGCTTCTGTATCAGCAGAAATCGCACGGGATCAGTGCCGATAGCGTGGATCGTCTTTGCGGTTGCGTACTAGTTTTTGACCAATTCATTTTTTTATTTGGGATCAGGTAACTGATCCGAGCGTCAGGGATTAGATTCTGGGATCAGTTCTAGTATTCGTTAGCCATCACACCATTAAAATTTTGACAGAAATCGCCATTTTGGCTTCTGTATTGGTAATTCTGTGCTGTGTTTAATGTACAGGGTGACTTCAAATTTGACTATATACTTGGTTTACAGAGAACAGCTCATGAGCTTGCCTGGGAAAATGTCACTAGTGGAGAATGGGCTAGTGGCAAAAAATGGGCAGATGACGCTCCCAAGGAAGTATTAGATGCCGAAAGCATTAATTTAATGAGTAGTGGAGCATGTGGGGCATTTGTTCATGGCTTAGAAGATGAATTCTTAGGTTAACTTTCATAATTTTTTAATTTCCTCATTACTGAACAATTGTAATTGATATTTTAGAAGTAAGATCGGCTGCTGTTGAGTCTCTTTGTCGCCTATCAATAAGCAACCCTCAGTTTGCAAACATGGCATTGGATTTTATGGTAGATATGTTTAATGATGAAATAGAAGACGTTAGGCTTAAAGCCATAGACAGTTTGAGACTGATTTCTGAGCATATTATATTGAGAGATGATCAGTTAGAAACTATTTTAGGTATAGAATTAAGGGATTTCAAAGATATACAGGATCCGGCAATAGCGCGTCGGGCATCTGTAGCTCCTAGAATAAAAAACTTGGGAATTTTGTTCAAAAGTACAAACCTAAAGTATGTACTAGGATGTATTTCAGGAAAATATTTTAACTTCTATAGGGTGGCTCAAAAAAGTGTGGGTGGATAGGGATGATTTTTTTTAAATGGGACACCCTATATATTATTGCATTTTTGGCTTCCTTTCAGATCACTTTACATAAACCTAAGACATGAGTAAATATATTTCGATAATTTCAGAGATATTAATAAATAAATAAAAATTATATATTTTTCAGCTTTTCTTAAAAAAAAAAAAATATTAATAATACAAGAACTGTCCTGAACTTAAAACTGTATTAGATATTTACTTTAGATGGTTTATACTTACTTTGCTACAAATATGGAAATCGTAAATCATACAGGATGTTCAAAATTCTACGCCAAACTTTCTAAAATATACAATAATTTTTCTTGTTTTTTTTTTTTTTAATGGGACACCCTGTATATTATTTTTTCAATAGATGGAGAATTAAAAAATGAACATTTTTTGCATTTAGAGTATTTCAAATTTTTTAACGGTTTCGCAGTTATTTCCGGTTTTGTGTTTCATATGGCATTTTCCACAGTAAATTTTTATCAAAGCTACCCAATGATTTTTCTCTCGTATTTTGCCATTGAAAGCGCCATATGAAATAATACTGCGTGTATCCGGAAAACTATTAAAAATTTTGAAATACTTTAAATACAAAAAATGTTTCTTTTTTTAATTCTCCATCACATAAAAAAATAATATACAGGCTGTTCCATTTAAAAGTAAAGTAAAGATTTGAAGTTAAATACTCCTTTTTGCTGCCAGGGCTAATCTGGACGGGGCCTACTTTGTTTACGCGGAATTCGAACCGCGGTCCTCGGCCATATCATGGTCAATGGCCTACCGACTGGCGAATTGGTGTCTAAATCGACTCTTACTCACGAGATATCCGATGTCATCCGGCGTGAATGAGCAGTGTGTGTCAATAGATTTTACACTTTTGCCTTTATTGGACAACAGCACGATACAGAGTTTCGAACCGGTCACCCGTCTATCCACTAGTATTGCCTTACGTCGCTTAACTTCGGTGTTCTAATGGGAACCGGTGTTTCGACGTAGCTGGGCCGTTGCCTTGTTCCATTAAAAAAAAACGAAGTAAATAAACTTGGAAAATAAGTTCGTTATAGTAATGCTTTTCTTATTCACTATTCTCCAAAATAAAAACACTAAATCACCACAATACACCAAAACACTTTTACTTTTACACTGGACGCGCGTTTCGCTAACCATGTTAGCATCATCAGCAGATGATGATAAAATTATCAGTTTAGTTTATAATCATCTGCTGATGATGCGAACATGGTTAGCGAAACGCGCGTCCAGTGTAAAAGTAAAAGTGTTTTGGTGTATTGTGGTGATTTAGTGTTTTTATTTTGCTGTGTAACACCAAAGGTTCTAACCCTCAACTGTAATATTCACTATTCTAATAAAGAATATGCATTCCTTCAGAAACTCTCTATTTATTTATCTACTACACTCTATTTTAAAAGCCGATTAGAGGCAATAGTATGATTTATTGGCAGGCAAAGTAAATATTTATGATCCGATAAAATTGTGATGTAAGAGGAGGCTTGGCTTGCCGGCGGCGGGTCAGTAATAGACAGACCGGCCGGCTGTAGTGTTCTGTCTTGTCACCTCCCTGGTTGCACGTCGTTTGACCTTTTGACCATTCCTCCCTAGTTGCATGTCGTTGACTGTAAGGCAACGGGTCTTTTGACCATTGAGAAGAAAACCTCTTGTGACGTCTTGCCTTCGAGGTTGGTCTTGGAAGTTTGAGGTCTCCCTTCTCTTCTCGATTGACACGATGGTGCGTTGGGGTTTAGCGGGTTGATCTGTTTAGCGGCAGATTTGCGTCCGGGGGAAGCCCCTATACTATTTCAGGTGACACTAGCTAGTTGTTGAAGATTATTAACCAATAGATCCGAATAATATTTGAATTAGATGGAAGATATGGAATGGGATATACTGAATAGAATGTCAGTGTTGTTAGTGGCTAGGGGGCGGAGTACCCCCGGGTGAGTTTTACTATTTAACTATCAATTTTATCCAGATCAATAAATGTTTGTTTTGTTATTTTCATGTACAATGAGAGTGCTTGCCAATGACCAGTAACCAAATGGATATTTGAGGTGAATTTGCATTGTGAGACCTGAGTAAGCCCCAGAAATAAGCGATTTTGCATAAAATTATTTTATATTTTTGAAAGTTTGGCGTAAAATATTGATCATCCCGAGGAACATCCTGTACGATTACCATATTTATAGCAAAGTAAGAACAGACCATCTAAAGTAAATATCTAGTATAGTTTTGATTTCAGAACAGTTCTTGTATTTTTAATATTTTTTTAAGAAGGGTTGAAGAATACGATGAATATCGATCGGTTTTACGCCTTTAGCACTAAGAAATCGTATGACAGCCCGTACTTCACAATCGGCGGGGCTCACGATTGTCGGAGGCATCTTAAACACTCAATAAACAACGTATACAATGAAGAATCAGACTGTACTGGCGTCTGTGCATAGACAAGAGATGTAGGTAACCAGCACGCATGCGCGGAACGCTGACCATAGCGTTGCGGCGGCGGAATCGCAAAACGGTACTTACTTAAAAAACATGCCTCGTACATCTTGGTACATACTTTAGGTTTGCACTTAAAAAAAATGCTCAAGTTTTTTATTCTAGGAGCTACAGATGCCGGATCCTGTACAGTAATATTACTAAAGAATAAACAATATTTTTAGGTGCTTTAGAAGATTTTTCTCAAGAGGTTAGGGAAGGGCTACACAGGATGTTAGCTTCATGTAAAATGTCAACAACGGCAGGCTTAAAAATGTGTGTAGAGAAGTTACTGGATAATTTAAAAAAATATCCTCAAGATAAAAGATCTACTTACAGGTAAGGTATTTTTTAAACAGTAAAAGAGCGATTTATATAGATGTATTTCTTAAGAGTTCTTTACATAAATATAATTTTTTAAGCATTAAGCTCTTTTCAGAAGGTTGTTGAAATCAACTTAAAGATTGTAACCTAATCATGAACTCTCTTTCTCAGTTAAAAATAATATTGAATTCATTAACAAAATTAAAAATATAACATTGCATGAAAGTAAAATTTTGGTCTTTTTTGATGTATCTTTGTTGTTCCCAAGTGTTTCAATTCCACATACTTTAAGCTATTTGAACGCTATTTGAAGGAATTACTGAACGCAAATGGTCTCGACAACAAAACTGTGATTGAGCGGCAATGGGTAATCCATTGTCTCCATTTTTGGTTAATTTATTCATGAGCAGGTTTGAAGTGGAGGCTAAGAATCAGTTTGAGTATTTTCCAAGAGTATGGTTTCGGAATGTGGATGATAGTTTTGCTGTTTTTAATACATATTCAGACACCATAGATAATTTTATTACTAAGTTAAATAATCATTTTCCTTCCATTAAATTTACACATGAAATTGATAACAATGATATATATCTAGATGTATTAGTTATTAGAAATACTAATAATTGCCTGGAATTTTATATCTATAGGAAAAATACCACTACACGCAGATATATTCCTAATGAATCATATCATAGTGTTGAACATAAAATGGCTAATCAACTTAAAGATTATTCTATTTTTTAGATGTCTTCAAAGTGTTGGTGCTAAACATGCAGAACTTGTTCTACCCTTGGTTCCACACTTTCTTAACATACACCCATTCTTTGACACTGCAGAACCAGATGTAGAGAATCCACATTGTATCCTTTTTTTAATTTGTTTACATTCTTTTTTTGTCAAACATTTTCTATTATTTTTCTTAATGAATTTAATAGATATTTGCCTGCTAATTTTAATATTGAATTCTGCGAAATATTCTTCAACTATAATTCCACTTTTGGAGCCTCATACTTTGAGACATTACTCTTATTTAAGGGATACTATGCCGCAGTTTGTACCTATATTAAGTTTACCCGATTCGACTGGAATTGTTATATCTCGTCCGCTTTCTGTACCAGAAAGTTTGGCGTTTTTGAATAATGTTATTTGCAATTTGGATATGGCAGAAAATATGTCGAGGTAGGTTTTTTGACAAACATGTTGGCACACACAGTTAGTGATGTTAATATTTCAGAAATTTTTGATTGTTGCAGGAAATTTCCGAAACTTTCGAAAATTCATGAAATTTTAGGATATTTTACAATTTTACATATTTTTTGTTGATACAATAAAGGAATACATTAGATAGACATTTGATACCAACATGTAAGTGGAAAAAAAAAACAATAAACATAATATTAGTTGTTATATTTTTAATAAACAATACATAACTCATAAAAGTCATAAACATAACACATAACAAAAATAATTTGGTAACGTTTGTACTTTGTACATAAACCATGAACTATGACTATGAACTTAAAAAAAACAAAAAGGCACGAAATATAAATTTAAAAAACGTAAAACACAAATAACTGAATTATTCTATTCCGGAATACCTTCAGGCGCCGAGCTGGTCCCATCTTCATAGGGTATTATAGTAGTAGTAGTACTGTCTTCGTCAGTCTCTATTTTCAAATCAGATATATTTGATGTATCATCTGGTTTTGATTCTGAAGAAAGGTTGTTGAATATCGTGCTCCATATCCACTTTTTGTTTTTGTAGTAATAATTTATTGTTATGAGCTACGAAGATTATTTTGCCGGCTCTTTTTGCAGTTAAGCGATTCCTTTTTTTAGTACGGATAAAACTGTAAGTACTGAAACTTCTCTCAGTGGCTGCAGACGACGTTGGTAAAGACAGCAGAGCAACAACTAAATATTTCAACTGAGTATTTTTACACATTGCTTGCCACCAACTTAGACAGTCTACATTTTTAACTGACATCCAAACGTAGTCGAGAGCCCATAAACCCGATTTGGCGCAATAATTTGTTACATCTGTAAAAATGGCTTCTTTATTATTGACAAACTGAGGATGTTTGTTGGTGATATTGTTGATAAATTCCATAGCGGCTATGTGTTCTTCATTGTTAAGGTGCTCTCCCAGGAAACAGAGGGGTCCAAGAGATTCGCGGCAAAATGCATTGGTTTAAGGGCCATACGTTTTCTATTTCGTAATGCTGAGAAGCATTCTCTTTCTTCTGATTTAAGAATAGGCATACTTGATACACTTTCGTTAAATTTTTGCTCAATGTCTTGAATTTTGAAAAGAAATTTCTTGAAAAATTCGGATTTTTGCGAATATTCGCGATTTTGGGACCGAATATTTCGGAAATTTCTGAAATTTCCTGCAAAATTCGAATGGAAATATTCGCTACCAACATCACTACACACAGTAAACATTTTTTTTTTTTTATAGAGTTCATATATCATTGTTACAAACGGCAAAAGAACATCTTAATCGTTTGAGTGAAATGGACTCTACAGTTTCCGGAACTGCACAATTTACCGCACTTTATATTGGCGCGCAAATACAAATTTTGCAAATTTTAGATAAGGGATTTTGGGTACAAAACAATATATAGACGGTTTTTATACTTACTGTTTTGAGGTTATGATATTTTAGGTTAACCCAGCGACACTAGCAACTCAGCAACTTAACACATTGAAAACGAACATTCAAAATCTTCTGGAACACTGTTTAAAATTACAGTTCTTTTTTGTCGGCTTGAATTCAGCCGAACAGTGTGCAGTGAAACAATTCAGGTTAAGAGCTTTAGCTTTAAACTTGGTTTATATTGTTAAAGGTCAGTTAAAGTTATAAAAACTCTACTGAAAATACACTAAAACTTAATGATTTTAGGTAGTAATTCTTCTGCGTTAGCTCCTTGTCATCATTTTTTGACAGCTGTGGAGGGTATGCAAAAAGATTTGGCACAAAGTAACTTGCAGCCGGATAGTTTCACGTCGTTGGTGTTTCGGGAATTGTCTCAATTAGAAGAGCACAAACCTGGCGCAGTGGCCAGGATATTAATCCCTATATTGTTGGAATCAAAATTAGGGCATATTCCCAAACCAAATATAAATGTAAGATTTATTTACTATCTCTATGATATATTAGGTTGAAGTTTGGTGATTTTATAAGCCATTGCAACAAGTTTGATATCTAAAAATCGTAATTTTTAATGTCTCATTCCTATACAGATCAGAATGAGTTCTGCCACAATAGTCGAGCCAAGTGGCCAAACTGATACATCTCTTAAATTTACGGCTGGTTTAATCATGTCGGTACCGTTCGAAGCAGAGTTGCGGCACCTAATCGATCCTAGTAGAATTCGGTTGAAAGTTAAATATCCTGACCAGAAGATGCAAGTTCTTTTACCAAAAGTTCAGCATTTGAAGCCTCTGTATTATGACACAACTAATGAAGGTAAGATCGTGATGTTAAATATATATTTTTATTTGCCGCAACATATGTAATTAACTAGGTTTTTAAAATTTTGAAAGCGTACCAAGATAATAAGAAATAGAGATACCTAGATAATAATTTAGGTACCTCTACTTTTTACTACGCATTTTGTGTTCTTTTTTTTTCTGATTTGTCTTCAGTTTCCTTGAGTTCTGGTGGGGTACTATTGTTCAAAAAGTCTTCATTATTGATACTTCTAGACAATATTTTGGCTGATGTTTATTCTGGTTTGAAAAAAAAATAATTTTTAAACAACACATGGATTTTTTATGGTTTAAAACATTTTTTATTATTTTCAACATAATTTTAACTTAAAATTCAAGATTATGTTAAAAATTTGTTTAAAACACTTATTTTAAAATATAACAGGGTCGTCCGAACTGTATTCCGGAAACTTTAGCATATTTTGCAGATAAAAATAAGTAAAAAGTTCGTATAAATGTATGTCTTAAAATGCTTAGTTTCGGAGATACAGGGTGTAGAAGTTTCATTTTTATTTCGATTTTTTCCAAATAATTTCTGAAGTAAAGTCAATATTTGGATTAAAATTGGTGTCTGGGAGTTTTTTGACAACAGAAATTTGGGGGGGATTTTGATGTCAATATAACTCCTATTTGTGGGGGGCGCCACCCACATTTGTTTTAACTGTTTTGAAGAGTAATAATTTTTCGTCCGTACCTGTATAAAACTACTGACTGAAAAAATATATATTGCCGTGATATTTTACGTAAAAATTGTCTCTTGGTAAAAATCGCTACGAGCAAACGTTCTCGAGATATTTAGAATGAAAATAGTCAATACATCTCTTTATTGACAAAAAATAAACATGTTGAGTAGATAGTTATTTGACTGAAATGGTAAATTTGGGAACTTTTTATTTTTTTAAATTATTCATAAATTTTTCTTCAAAAAAAATGACAATGAAACAGTTTCTGACGAACTTTTGGCACGAAAACATTTTAAATTTATAATTTCAGTTTAATAACTATTTAGCTTGTATTTAGTCAACATGTTTATGTCAGTGATGATAGATATTGATATTTCGGTTTTAAATATCTCGAGAACCATTACTCGGTAGCGATTTTTACCAAGAGACATTTTTTACGTAAAAAACATAGTAAATGTGTATTTTTTTACTTATTAAGGTACATTCAGGCTGAGAGCGTCGCGGCCGCCCCATTGAACTCGAACCCCGACGCTCAGAACGTCAAACGCGACGCTGTCTGCCTGAACGGTCTAATTAAAGTTAAGTGAGTTGATTCCATTTCGATACGCGGACGCGACGCAAAGGCGACGCGACGCTCGACGCTTTCAGTCTGAATGTACCTTTAGTTTTATACAGGTACGGACGAAAAGTTATTACTCTTCAAACGAGTTAAAAATATGTAGATGGCGCCTCTCTACAAGTAGGAGTCATACTGACATCAAAATCAAATTTCTCGTGTCAAAAACTCCCAGACACCAATTTTCATCCAAATATTGACAAATTGTTACTTCATAATAGTGATGGGTTGTTATTTAACTATCTGTTATTTTATAACAATTATTTAGAAATAACATAACGCAACCGTTACTACTTTTAAAAAATAACAGATATAAAATAACGATACGCAGAGAAGGACCGTTCGTGAAACAAAGTCGGCGCCCTGCACCGCCACGAAATTCGATGCTGCTCGAAGTAATTCCAAAAACAACTAGTATGGATTATGGATGGAAAACATGTTATTGGAACAACCATCGATACAGGCGGCAAGATACAACGGACAACGGAGTGGGGGGAATGCGCTAGGGAGCGGCGCGGCGCGGCGAACGGCATCGGTCGATGGTCATGTGGGGCTTGCAACAGCTTAAAAATAATAGGATATAAAAGAAGCAACTTTTTGAAACAGTTGCGGGCATAACGCCTGGCAGTCGAGATAACAGGAGTGGGAAAGGAACGCTGCTGCATCGGTCGATTGTCGAGGCTCGCAACGGGTTGGAGAAGCAGTCACATTTTAGATAAGTTGTTTTTAACCTGTTACGAGCATAACAGAGCGGCGGTCGAGATAATCGGAGTCGGAAAGTAACGCTGCTGCATCGGTCGATTGTCGATGGAAGTTCGAAACAGGTTGGAGAATAACGCATCAGTTGTTTTAGATATATTGTTTTTCAACCTGTTACGAGCATAACGGGCGGAGGTCGAGATATTATGGCGCTGTATGTTTCAGTACGTTATTAAGTTTCAATATTTAGGTATTTATTTATTCTGAAAAATTTTCAGAATAATATTTTAAGATTTTTTAAAAATGTATACAGGGTGTTTTGAAAAATCTGGTCATTGATTAATCACGATCCTGCTTAAAGCCCTTGACGTAAAAAGCTGATTTTTGGAAAACGGATTGACTTTAGGGTGTAGAGGTTCGATAAGAAGGGATTTTTCGAAACTCGAATTCAAAGGGGGTGAAACCACCCTCAAATATTAGAATATTTTTTATTTAAAAACCGGTGAGTTTTCCGGAAAAACTCTTAAACACGTATATTTTATTTCGTTGTTTTACATATTTTAAGATTTTTTAAAAATATATACAGGGTGTTTCATAAAATGTGACCATTGAGTAATCACGATTCTGCTTAAACTGCTTGACGTTTAAAGCTGATTTTTGGCAAACGGATTGACTGTGGGGTTGAGGTTCGATAAGGAGGGGTTTCTCGAATCTTAAATTCCAAGAGGGTGAAAACGCCCCTCAAATATTACAATATTTGTTATTTAAAAAACGGTTAGTCTTTCGGGAAAACGCTTGGACACGCATAATTTATTTTGTTTTTTTACATATTTTGAAATTTTTTAAAAAATAATACAGGGTGTTCCAAAAAGTTGAGTAATTGATTAACCACGATTCTGCTTAAACTGCTCGACGTTTAAAGCTTATTTTTGGCAAATGTGAGAAAATTTTATCCAGTTTGTATGTCAATAGAAATTCTTGCTTTGCTTTATCATCACCATTACAAATTATTAATTCGACGCGAACGAAGTCGCGGGTACACGCTAGTTTAAGTGTAAAATTAATTCGAACTCTAGTGTATAGTTGGTTTACTTATGAAGAATATACTACACATTTTCTTATATTGCTATTTTTTGACCACAAATGGTAAAATTATAACTAAGAGCTTCTTGCCCGTCGAGTGAGATGCACCCTGTACACTGCTACGCAATTCAGGATCTACGCCAATCGAGGAGCAAGGCGTAGGTAGATCGGAATGTATACGTATAGACGAGTGGCGGAATTTTGGCTTTTTTTTTCGCAATTTGTAAACAGCGCTTATTTGTAAACATCGACCGTTTTTAGAGAGGTATTTTAGATAACGATCCATATTTAGAAATGTTTTGACACCCTGGAAATACTACCACCGAGCACGTCATTGTTGCAACTTGCAACTGCGTTAATACGCCTGGCGGTGACCGCCTCATACTCTTTCAGATATTTAGCAATAAAATAAAGAAACCTGTTATTTTTAAGCTGTTATTCTAAGCTGTTTTTTTATAAATAACTATAACAGTTTCAACTGTTATCTAAAAATAACAGTTTTGCCCATCACTACTTCATAAATTATATGGAAAAAGTCGAAATGAAAATGAAATGTCTACACCCTCCCTTATATCTCCGAAACTAATGTTAACACTTATACGAAATTTTTTACTTATTTTTATCTGCTGAATATGCTGCCGAAGTTTCCGGAATACAGTTCGGACCACCCTGTATAGTATGTATATTCAAAATTAAGGAGTATATTATTTATAGTAATTCAATTTTTAGGAGAACTTAATGGTACTTTCCTAGTTTCTTGCACAGCATAATAGGTTCAAGTGATTAAGTACCATGTTTCTTATTACTTGTGTTATCAGTTTTAAGTCCTTTTTTTCTATTATAATGAGTTGAACGATTTTTTTCTTGACTATATTAGATTGAGGTGATTAATTTGTTTTTTAGACTTTTTTTTTTGTATTTTTTTAGAGTTGTTTATTTTATTAAATAGTTGAAGTATACATACTAAACATGTTTTGAACTGAGACTTAAAGAAATATTTAAAATAAGTAGTGGCGTGTTGATGTGTTTGCAACTCTGTATTTATTTAACATAATTTGTATTGTGTTATTATCGTTAGCATATATATCTCGCCTTATTTTTTATAGAATCGCAAATTGGACACAACTTGAGACTTTTGAGTTCCATTTTGATTTCGCATCAGGTGTGGTCAGAAGCATGCAATGTAGAAATCAACGTGGCTCTGTTTGTTCCTGAAGGAGATATAGGCAAACGAAAAACGAATTTGGATTTGAATCCTTCACTTTTAGATCTTTGCCCGCCTGTAAAAGTCAGTGTGGCTCCTAAACCCATCAAAAAACCCTGTAAATTATTTTTAGGTTATAGAAATATATTTTAAGTATTTAAATACGTAAGTGTTTTTTCTTGCTCTTTAAAAAATTGAAACAATAACAATTTAACACAGCGAACTATTTAAAGTTGAAAATTTGAGAAAAGTTAAATTATATTTAATTTTTTTGTATATAGGAAAATAACTATTATAATATACAACTATTGGATTTCTACGAAAGGAACAACTATTTCTACGAAAGGAACTTCAAAAAGGCAGTCAGAATATTGGAGTATGATCAATTTACTACAAAACACATTTAAAAAAAACAGCAATATATTTTATAGATCGCTACCTATATATTACACGTGGAATTGACGAGTATGTCACCGCAAAACACACTAATATTTTTGAAATTTTTGATCAAGTAAGTAACGTTATCTATATTTATGACACAGTAGTTGTATTCATAGAAAAAGTCTAATAATTCGCTTATAAAACAATACACTTTTTATTTAACCAAATTATCCAAAATTTCACTTAGCGGATGATAATCAAAGGCCAAAATGACATTACTCGCAAATTTTGAAGTATAATTAGTGGAAAAAAAAATAAGTTTTTGACGTTCTGAATGCTTACGTTCAAATTAGAGGAACAAACTTTTTAAATCAGTAATTTATTCCATTAATTTCGATGTTCTGAATAAAGTTTAAAATTAGAGAAATAAGACACAAAAATTTAATATAAACATTTACTAAAACATAAATTTAATTGCTTACAGTCTAAGGTCTTTTAATTGTTTTCTTAATATAAAAAAAAAATCAATCAGGATATCATGAGTACGTTCGAAAATATATCAAAGTGCAGTACAAATTACAAAATCTGCCACATCTTTAGTAGCATCATCTCCAGCTTTCTTCAATTTATCAGTAAAGCACTGTTCCAAAATTGGAACAATTTCGGTTACTAATGCTGTAGCCTTTGTTACATCTTCTGCGATATGAGCTGGAGCATCTTTAGTATCTTTCTCGATTTCTTCGATAATCTTGGCGTAGCATTTGATTTTTTTGAATTCGTTGCCACCACAGTTATCGATGTCAGAATCAATAGTGTTTAGGTCTTCTTCGATTTTCTTGATGCTGGTCAATGCATCGTTCACGTACCCTTGGGCCTTTTCGACTTGAGTGGTGATACATTCTCCCAAATCGGTCACTAGTTGGTCTGGAACGTTCGAGAAATCGTCGACGTAGCTTTGGCAGTTGGACACATCAAAACCTGAAAAGAGATAATAAAAATTGATATTAAAAAATTAGGCTCCATTTAGAACCTCGAAATTAGTCGTTTTAATTAGCGGTAGTAATTTTCAACTACTAGAAAAAGTTAACAAACTTAATTTTTTTAGTAACTGTACTTCCAAATTTACGAGTAATGTCATTTTGGACTTTGATTTTTATGCGTCAAGAGAAATTGTGGTTAGAAATCAAAAGTTAGTAGTTTTGTAAGCTATATAACTATTAAGGCTATCTCTATGGTACAACTGGATACCGTATGCTGTAGCTAGGATATTCTATTCATTTTAATTGTATTTTTTCACATTGTGAATGATCATACATTTCTAAGTATAAAATATTAAGCTTTATTCAGAACCTCGAAATTAGTGGAATAAATTAGTGGTTTCAATTAGCGTAGAAGTTTATTCCTCCAATTTAGAAATCAAAAGTTTATTATTGTTTTATAAGATAAATATTAGACATTCTCTATGGATACAACTGACTACCGCAAGCTGTTGCTAGGATATTCTATTAATTTTAATTTGCGTTTTTTAGACATTATGAATGGATTTGTAAACTAAAAAAGTTATAAAGTGTAACTGAAAACTTACTAATTTATTTCCACTTAATTTTTGATGATTTTGAATGAAGCTTAAAATATAGAGAAAATAAGGACACAAAAATTTAATATAAACATTTACTAAAACATAAATTTAATTGCTTACAGTTAAGGTTCTTTAATTGTTTTCTTAATATAAAAAAATCAATTCAAAAAAAAAAAAAAAAAAAAATCCAAAAAATATATCAAAGATGCAGCACAGATTTGCAAAATCTGCCACATCTTTAGTAGCATCATCTCCAGCTTTCTTCAATTTATCAGTAAAGCACTGTTCCAAAATTGGAACAATTTCGGTTACTAATGCTGTAGCCTTTGTTACATCTTCTGCGATATGAGCTGGAGCATCTTTAGTATCTTTCTCGATTTCTTCGATAATCTTGCGTAGGCATTTGATTTTTTTGAATTCGTTTCCTCCACAGTTATCGATGTCAGAATCAATAGTGTTTAGGTCTTCTTCGATTTTCTTGATGCTGGTCAATGCATCGTTCACGTACCCTTGGGCCTTTTCGACTTGAGTGGTGATACATTCTCCCAAATCGGTCACTAGTTGGTCTGGAACGTTCGAGAAATCGTCGACGTAGCTTTGGCAGTTGGACACATCAAAACCTGAAAAGAGATAATAAAAATTGATATTTAAAAAATTAGGGCTCCATTTTAGAACTCGAAATTAGTCGTTTTAATTAGCGGTAGTAATTTTCAACTACTAGAAAAAGTTAACAAACTTAATTTTTTTAGTAACTGTACTTCCAAATTTACGAGTAATGTCATTTTGGACTTTTGATTTTTATGCGTCAAAGAGAAATTGTGGTTAGAAATCAAAAGTTTAGTAGTTTTTTAAGCTATATAACTATTAAGGCTATCTCTATGGTACAACTGGATACCGTATGCTTGTAGCTAGGGATATTCTATTTCATTTTTAATTGTATTTTTTCACATTGTGAATGATCATTACATTTCTAAGTATTAAAAATATTAAGCTTCATTCAGAACCTCCAAATTAGATGGAATAAAATTTTATAGTTTCAATTTTTTTTTTTTTTTTTATTTTTTTTTGGTTAGAAATCAAAGTTTATTATTGTTTTATTACAGTAAATATTAGACATTCTCTATAGATACAACTGAGTACCGCCGCAGCTGTTGCTAGGATTTCTATTAATTTTAATTGTGTATTTTTAAACAAAAATAAAAAAAAAAAACTAAAAAGTTATAAAAGTCGTTAAAATGAAACTACTTAATTTATTCCACTAATTTTGATATTTTGAATTGAAGCTTTAAAATTAGAGAAATAAGACACAAAAATTTAATATAAAACATTTTACTAAACATTTAAATTTAATTGGCTTACAGTTTAAGGTTTCTTTAATTGTTTTCTTAATATAAAAAAATCAATCACGATAATTTTTAAGTGACGTTTCCAAAAAAATATATCAAAGTGCAGCACAGATTGCAAAATCTGCCACATCTTTAGTAGCATCATCTCCAGCTTTCTTCAATTTATCAGTAAAGCACTGTTCCAAAATTGGAACAATTTCGGTTACTAATGCTGTAGCCTTTGTTACATCTTCTGCGATATTGATTCTGGAGCATCTTTAGTATTCTTTTTCTCGATTTCTTCGATAATCTTGGCGTAGCATTTTGATTTTTTTGAATTCGTTGCCACCGCAGTTATCGATGTCAGAATCAATAGTGTTTAGGTCTTCTTCGATCTTCTTGATGCTG